GGAAGCCACCAGAGGGCTCGCCTGGGAGGACTCAGCAGCACTGGCCCGGGAGACCCTTGGGGGACAGGGCCCGACTCCCAACCTCCAGGACCACTGCCCACCCTTCATCGGGGTGGGGACCAGCGTGTGCTGAGAGTGCCAGGGATTCTTCGAGAGGCTCCTAAGCTGGTTTGTCCCGTCCGGTCCTGGATTTTTGATGTCGCCATGAGCGCAATGACGATTATAGGGAGAAGCGTGAGGCTTTGTTCGTCTGTCCCATGCTGGTTCCGAACAGGACACAAAGGGGCAGTCAAGCCCATGGCCGAGAGATGGGCTCCTGGGTTCACCGTTCGAGACTCTCTGAGCTGCAGACCTGCTGGGGGGTCATCAGGGGGTCCTCTGGCCACCTAAGGCTTCCCGCCCATGTTCATTTTCTGGCTTGCCCTCCTGGGTGTGTGTGTCCTTCCTCCCTCTCCTGTCCCCGTCACCCAGATGAGAGGCCCCAAATCTGCTGGAAATAGGGAGCCTCAGAGTTGCCGCACCAACAGAAACCCCCATAAATCTTCCTTCGGGTTGGTTGAGAGGCCAGCTGGGGACCAGGAACTTGGTTTATTCTTATGAGCTGTTTTCTCTTGGCTTAGAAAAAAAAATATCCCCATCCTACTTGGCCTCCCTTTACAAAATCCAGGAACACCATTGACAGGGTGCCTGCTGTGAGTCTGGGGCAGTGTCCAGCTGCTCTGAACTGAGACAGGGCCACCAGACCTAGGGACAGGGTGAGGGTACAGGCTCTGGCTCAGGGGGCTTCTCCCGGCGACTATTCCCTTGAGGGTGGGCTCAGTGTCTCCCTCTGCCCTGCCTGGCCGCTAGGTATGCAGTCTGTGTCTGGCCCCCGTTGGCCGAAGGGAAGCTCCCCTGTTGTGCTCTGAGTGGTGGAGAAGCTCCAAAGTGGGGTGCCGAGGGGGAAGGGTACTCAGGGCTTCTGCGGAGAGAGCTCAGGAGGTGACCCGGGAGTGAGGCCGATAAAGGAGGACTCAGGAAAGAGAAGCATGGGTAACAAGGCGGGAATATAATGGCCAAGAGCCCCTATTTCCATCTGTAGCCCCAGAAAGGGGCTCCCAAGGCCTGTATGGTGGCAGCTGAGGCAGCCATGAAATTCGAGAACCGGGACTTGAGCCTCAGGATAGGAGTGAGGTTTCTTCCTCTGGCTGCCTTGAGGCCCATGCGTGTTTGCATGGCTGATGCACGCAAAACTCCACCTCAAATGGAAATGACCAGGAGGCGGGAAATGACCGGGAATGACTGGGCCTGGTGGCTGGCCTGGTCCAGGCCAGGGGGGAGGGAAAAGGTAGGGAAAACGCTCCCCTGGCCCTGGGGTGCCGCTGGTAGCCTCTGGTGCAGGGAGTAGCCACGGGCTGGGGAGCTAGAGGGAGGAGGCAGGGAACGAGGCCGGGTGGGAGAAGGCCAAGGAAAGTGGGTTGTCAGAGGGAGGCAGGGATGGTGTGCACAGGTGTCTCCTTCCTTCCAAGGAGGCAGGAGAGGGCGGAGCCTAGGTTAAGGTCAAGTGCAAGAGGCAAGGTGGGCCTCCAAGGGCAGCGCTGTCGGGAGAAGAGTCCAAGTCTTGTGCCACCCGAGCCCTCTACCCTTTGGAAATAAGAAAATTAGCAGCAAAGAACGTAATCTCTCAGTGATTCTCCCGCACCCCAGCCTGCCCCACCTACTGTGTGTTTTCGCAGCTCAGGGTCCCTGCCTCCCTGTTCCTTGCCGGCCCTCGCCCAGGGCTGCCGGGGCCTGGTGCTGGGCAGTTAATGCCCACTGAGCCGAACTGGTGGCTCGCAGGGATTCCATGTGGGTTGGCTGATGGCTCGGTCAGCAAGGACTCTGGGACAGGCCACCTCGTGTCTCTGATAAAACAGCAAGAAAGGACACTGACACTTCTTCGGGGCCTTCCGGGTACTGGACGCATCCTCTGGTCTGGTGTGCCATCGTCTCTTTCCGGATGTTCAGTCTGAAGACCTCCGAGGTCTGGAGCTGGCCTTCACCTCCGCGTCAGGGTTTTCACCTGCTCCAATTGGCCCAGAACCCCAAGTCTGAGCTCTTCCCGGGGGCTGCTGGGACCTTCGGGGGACAAGGTGGAAGGCGGCTCAAGGAGGCCAGTGGTCTGGCGCGGGGGGAGCGGGGGGACAGAGTGATGGATACCACGGCCTCGCAACAGCCTCACGGCTCTCCGGTGGCCAGGGTGGGGGCTGGGCGCTCCCCCGGAGAGAGGGAGGAGGAGGCGCTGAGGACCGCGTCTCCGCGGGACCCGATGACCATGCGGTGGTCCCTCTGCCTGCAGGCCGCTCAGGACCGCAGGAAGGGGACGCAGCCTGCCCCTAAGTTCTGCTCTCTTGGAGAGCCGGGAATGTGACACCGAAAATAACTCAGCGTTGGAGAATCCCCGGGTCCCTGCCTGGGTTCTCTCCTCCGTCTGCCTCGGAATCAGGCGTCCCTCAAGACCCCTGAAGCTGGAACTGACGGCTTCCATTCTGTGCCAGAAGTTTCTGTTTTCTTGCATGTAAATGGGGAGAATAGTGGTCACTTTCTTTAGGTTTTTGCTCAAGTGTCAGCTCAGTGACGCACTCCCTGAAATAAGAGGTTGTTCCAAACTGGACCTTTGCTCCCAGGCCTCCTGATCCCCTTCCCTGCTTTATTTTGTTCCGTGGCCTTCCCTCCCTCCCTCCCTGCCTCCCTCCCTCCCTGCCTGCCTCCCTTCCTCTTTCTTTCTTTCTTTCTTTCTTTCTTTCTTTCTTTCTTTCTTTCTTTCTTTCTTTCTTTCTTTCTTTCTTTCTTCCTTCCTTCCTTCCTTCCTTCCTTCCTTCCTTCCTTCCTCCTTCCTTCCTTCCTTCCTCCTTTCATCTCTTTCTTTCTCTCTCTCTCTTTCTTTTTCTTTTTTTAATTTACATCCAAGTTAGTTAGCATTAGTGCAATAATGATTTCAGGAGTAGAACCCAGAGATTCATCCCCTATGTATAACACCCAGTGCTCATCCCAACAAGTGTCCTCCCTAATGCCCCTTGCTCATTTAGCCCATCCCCCCACCCACAGCCCCTCCAGTAACCCCAGTGTGTTCTCTGTATTTAAGGGTCTCTATGCTTTGTTCCCCTCCTTGGTTTTATATTCTTTTTGCTTCCCTTCCCTTATGGTCATCGGTTTTGTATCTTAGATTCCTCATATGAGTGAGGTTGTGTGATATTTGTCTTTCTCTGACTAATTTTGCTTAGTGTACTACCCTCTAGTCCCATCCATGTGGTTGCAAATGCCAAGATTTCATTCTTTTTGACTGCCGAGTAATACTCCATCGTGTGTGTGTGTGTGTGTGTGTGTGTGTGTATGTGTGTGTGTGTGTGTGCGTGCGCACGCGTGCACGGACACACACACCCCACATCTTCTTTATCCATTCATCCATCAATGGACACTTGGGTTCTTTCCTTACTTGGCTATTGTCGATAGCGCTGCTATAAACATTGGGGTGCTTGTGCCCCTTTGAAACAGCACACTTGTATCCTTTGGACAAATACCTAGTAGCATTTTTCGGTTTCTAATATACTGTTCTATCACCTATCTGTCTGTCTATCCATCTATCGATCTATTATCTATTACCTATCTATCCATCTATCATCTTCCATTATCTATCTACTATCTATCTATCTATCTATGTATCTATCTATCATCTATCATCTATCTACCTATCATCATCATTTATCTGTTTATTTTGGTGTCCATGCTAGTGTCGTGGTGCAGGGGTACTTGCTGGCTCTGTTCTCTGTGTCCCCAGCACCCAGTGCAGCGCCAGGCCCAGAAGAAGCCCTGAAATGTTTGTTGCATGACCGAGGGGAGGACGGGTGAGCAGCGCTGTTGTAAAGACACATTACCCACATTACTGTACGGAAAGCATTCACTAGGATCCCCAGCACATTATTGCTGCTGCTGCTGTTTGTTAGACGTGACTTGTGCAGATTCCCCAGCCTCTCTGGCTGTCTCTCCATGTGTAAATTGAGGAGCTCAGATCACTAGATGGTCCCTGGGCTTCCTTCAGTCTGTAAAACGTCTGCAGATCTAGGAGCTTCGTGCCCCCAAATACTCAGCCATGGAAGTTCTTCCCAAAGCTCACCTGAAACTCCTTAGTCGAGCTCTGCTGGCTTTGGGGGAGCTAGGCACCCCTTTGGAGACAGCTCTTTCTCTGAGGATCAGCCTGGGGCACAGCTAGGAGACCGTGAGTCAGTTCACTACTTCTTAGAACGGTTCCCATTCAGATATTTCTATGTTTTATTTTAATTGGCTTTTGACATGTTGTTTCATAACGTTTTATTGTTTTCAATAGAGGCGATTCATTATGTGCATAATTAGAGGCCATTTGATGTTAATTTCTTTGGTAAGAGTTTTCATAGAAAAAAAGTTCAGAAAATGAAAATTTTGCCACACCACGTGCCTTGATTTGGGGCTTTGTTCACATGGTCTTTGGCAGTGAGGGTTGACACTGGGTCCTGCCCTGGGTGGGGCTCCGGTCCCTGGCCTTGGACGTTCCCTATAGGAACAGGGTCATACCTCAGAGGGCCTGTGAGTATCTGTTTTAGGGGCTCAGGTTGACAAGACCAAGGCCACCTTCCCGGGGCCTGGACCCTTTCTCTCAGAGCCCCCCCTCCGAAAGAAGCCTTCTGCAAACCCTTATTTCCTCATAGCTGACTCTGTGGGGGAAGTTTCAGGGGTAAAGCTAGCCTCACACTCCTGGTATTTGGTATTTGGTATTCGCTGAGTAACTGGGATGGCCTCGGAGGAGGAGAGGAGAGGGACAGGTCTGGCTAGTTCTGGGGTGTTGTTTATACTTGAGATTACCTCACAAGTCCCAACCCGCTTCCCCGCCCCACTGGGTGGGGGCTGGCCCTCAGCCTTCCAGCCCCCTTTTCCCCACATGCCCGGGACCAACATGGATCTTCCTGCGGCCATCAGCTGAGTCTGGCAGCCTCACCCCTCAGGAGACCATGGAAAGGGACGGCAGCCGGGTGAGTGTCCCTGGGCCTTGGGCCAGAACTTCCCGGTGCTGAGGAAGCAGGGATAGGGCTGGGAGGTAGGTGAGGCACTGTCACCTGTATGCCTCCGGTTTGGGGGAGATCGGGTGTGCCTCTTCTCATTTGAAGCTACTTGGGATTGAGACTGCTTGGCCTCCTTTTATCCTGGTTTCTAAGAGGGGCCCCTGGGAGGAGTGGATAGGATTTGGGATCTGCTCAGGAAGCACCACAGGGCTGTGCCTGAAGTTTGGGCTCCTCTTCTGTGGCCTGGGAGCACCCTGGCCGGGGCATTAAAGCTGTTAGATCATCACTTTTGCTGGTTTGAGAAGTCACTGAACCTTGGCATTCTAATGGGCTTTGGGGTTATCCTGGCCAACCCCCTCACTAGACTCCTAGGCCACCCTAGAATAAGTGATTTCAATGAATATTTTTTATACATTTTTTAAAAATGTTTTATTTATTTCTAGGAGAGAGAGAGAGACAGCGTGAGCAGGGGAGGGTCAGAGAGAGAGGGAGGGAGTGACAGACTCTGAAACAGGCTCCAGGCTCTGAGCTGTCAGCACAGAGCCCGACGTGGGGCTCGAACTCACGAACCGCGAGATCATGACCTAAGCGAAAGTCAGACGCTCAACCGACTAAGCCACCCAGGCGCCCCTTTGAATATTTAGTATCTTCAAGGAGATTTGTCAATATCCTGTGGTTACTTTCAGGCTTCATAATATTCATGCTTGGAAAGGGCTTCCTTACGTCTAACTATTTCTTTCTGCTACAACTCCAGCTCCTTACCTCTTCTTCTGTTCTTGTTGGTGGTAGAGAGCAGCTAGAGCGTCCTCTGGGGAAAAGCCAGTTATGTACACATGAAGGCGTCCAAAGATTTTGTTCAACTGTGCCTCAGCTTTCTTTTCTCGAGGGACATTCGTCTTGTGCTCTAATTTCTCCTTAGGACTTGCTTTCTACACCTCTCCACCTTTTTTGGCTCTTTACCGATGTAGTAGAATCGGAGACTCTGGGAAGGATGGGGCAGCTCTGGATTTGAGAAGGATCAGCTCAGCCTATGTTCTGGCTTATCGCTGACTTGTGGTTCGTTCTGAACCCCAGCTCTGTTTCTGCAACTTTTACCGTCACCATTTTCCCCATTCTTCCAGCCCCCTCTTGAATTTTCTTTCCCAGGCTTCCCTCTGGACCTCTGTATTGTTCTCCCTGGTTCCTGTCTCTACCTCGACAAGGTCATTTGGTCCCAGGCCTCTGGGCTCATTGGAGCCTCTTGTGAGCAGTAAGGGCAATGCATGGGGCAGAATGGAGTTTTGTCTGAGGTGTGGGGAAGGTGAACCCTCAGTTACAGCCACAGGGCATGTTTGTTGGTGACTTTCTGGAGGCCTGCATTTGATGATCCCTAAACACAGAGGACGAGAAGGGCTGCTTTGTCTGAACGATGGTAGGGCCAGTCCCTGGGCAGGGTGACAGAGGTGACATCTGCTTATAATGCTCATCTTTCCAGAGTTAGGGGCCAACATAGAAGGTCACCGGAGGGGTGCAGTGGCGGGGGCAGACTTTTCATTCCCAGTGGAAGAGGTGTTAAGTGGTATGGTAGCTGCCACGTTCATTCTGGGAGACTGTCCTAACGTACTTTGGAATGAAAGCATTGGACCACTATTCCCTTATTGAAAGTGCTTAAATTCACCTCCTTGTTTAGGGTAGAAACTCCAAGATAGTGAGCTTGAAGTGGGGGGGGGGGCGGGGGAGAGCTGCCCGGGTCTCTTAATCTTACCTGCAGCAGATTTCTTCAGAACAATTAGTTGAATAGGAGCAGACTGGGAGAAACTGGTTGTCTAAGTCCGTGCGTTCTCTCTGAGGGCTTCATCGCAGGGAGATGGACATGGTGCTTTTTGCCCTTCGGCTCCTTAAAGTAGTGAGGAAGCTGGTGGCCAATGGACGTGAGCCTGATGAAGTTCCTGTGCGTGTTGGTTGAGTCTTCAGGGGGACCTTGGACAGGAGATGGAGAAGGCTCGCAGCTTCTCTGTCTTCAGAGGAGACTGCATGGTGTGGACAGAAGACTGACCCATGTTTTGGTGGAGAATCACTTAACCTTTTTGTTTAAAAAAAATTTTTTTTTAATGTTTTATTTATTTCTAGGAGAGAGAGAGAGACAGCGTGAGCAGGGGAGGGTCAGAGAGAGAGGGAGTCACAGACTGAAACAGGCTCCAGGCTCTGAGCTGGCAGTCAGCACAGAGCCCGACGCGGGGCTCGAATCCACGAACCGCGAGATCATGACCCAAGCGAAAGTCGGACGCTTAACCGACTAAGCCACCCAGGCGCCCCTCACTTAACCTTTTTGTACCTCAGTTTCTTTGTCTGTAAAATGGAATAAAGATAGATTCTACTTCGAGGAGCTTTAGAATAATGACTTTCACCTATAAGGCTCTTTCTAAATAGCACCTGGCAGAGAGAGAGATTGAGATTCATAGAGTGTTCAGATTATCTTCCTCCATCATCTCCTAGGGGCTAGTCCTGACTCCCCTAACAATGTGGACAAATATCTCTTTTCCGTGCCTCAGTTTTCCCACCTACCAAAGAAGAGGGTTGAACAGAGTTCTTCCTCCCTCCCCCTGGCCCCTTTCTGGTTCCATGACAGTCTCTGGAATTATACAGAATGGGGTCAGAGGTATGCACACTGGATATGTGCATTTGTTCTTCAGCAGTAGTGTGTGTTTGTGTGTTTTTTTTTTTTTTTATCCAAAAGGCATCACCTTCTTAATGCTTACAGAAGTGCCATGCTTATTATAGAAAGACTAAATGGACCTGCTGATAAAGCAATAAGACATTGTAGATGGGTCTTCTTAAAATAGACCAGGTTCTCAATCAGTCCAAGACCACAGATGCCGTGGACTTGAGAGCTTGGACTTGGACCACCAGCTGGTGGTCCCAGGTCTAGTCCAGGATGAGGCACCCTCCCCTCAGGGGGCTGGGCAGGCTCCCAAGATGGAAGACCAATAGACTCCGGTCACCATACCTTCAACCCCATAGTGCAGGCTTCCCCAGGACCTTGGCACCTGCTCTTGGCGCCTCCAGGCATGCTGCCCTCACCCGAGACCTCTGCGACCCATGTTACCATTGGTGCTGAGCAGCCTTTCACCTGGCCCATCCCACCTGCTCCCTCCCCGCACCCCACCTTGTCCCTGTGACTTGGCAACTGTGAATGAGCATGTGTGGGAGTGTGTATATGGGGCTCCAGGTGGGGGTGCTGGGCGGGAAGTCCGACTGATGTAACAATGGCCACTTAGCTTAAGTGTCTTGTTTTGGCAAAACAGCTTCCTCTTGGAACAGCAGCGGCGGGTGGACTGTGCCCAGCCAGGCGGCCAGGGTGCTGCGGGGACGGGCAAGGGAAGCCAGCTCGGGGACCCAGGGCTTTGCCAGGATCTTGGCGGGACCACGTGGAGTGCGACTTCTCCGATAGGACCATCCGGGGAGCCGCTGTTAAGTACCAGCCCGGAACTGTGTCACCACCCCAGCATTGGCCTAGAAGGGACATGGGGGGAAACTGACGCAGCAAGTCCCTGGGCAATCAAATATTAGTTGCTTGGCAGTCGTGGGCCTTTGATGTTCTTTAAATCCCTTGATGAATGGACACATGCATGAATGAATAAACTAATGAATGGACAACGAGGTGTTCTGGTTCTGGTCTAACGGGGATCCCTGAGGCTTTTTCACGAGACATCGTAAATTAGAAGGAAATTTAGTGCTCAGCCAGGCCGGTCATTTTCAAGTTCTTTGTAGCCGCAGTCTCTTTTGTTCAAATGAAATGGTACGTGGAGCCCACTATACAAATTGCGAAGGGGACCGTCTCTGTTTGGAGTGGGGTGAAGGACTCCAAGCCCCTCCCTGCTGTGCAGGTCACCGGGACATTTCCTTGGAACCTCTAATGCCCTGGGAACAGTGCTTGAGAACAGTGGATTGTCCTCCCTTCATCGTATCGGTCGGGGAGCTGAGATTCCAAGACGGATGCCGCTGTCCTTCAGGTCATGCGGGGGTGGGAGCAGAGCAAGACTCCCCAGGGCCTCCCAGGCCTGGGCCAAGGGACGCCTCCACTCGGCTTCTTAGTCTGGAGCTCTGAGGGGAGCCTGTATTTGTGGGATTTCTCTGGGGTCGGGGAGAGGGGGCAGAGGGAGGGAGCCCTGTGTGCCTGGAGCTACAATGAAGCCTGGATTGAGCAGTAGGGTAGGGAAGAGGCATCATCCACCCCATCCCAATTCAGTCTAGCTCCTTGGAGACCAGTTCAGTCTACTCCAGTCCACAGTGGGATGGGTTCAGGCCTCCTGCGCCGTGGCCCAGGGGCTCCCCTGCTCCCAACAGGCAAGGGGGCCTTTTGGGGTCTGCGGAAAGGAGCTTCTGGTTTTTCCTGGTACCTTCTAGTGCCTCCCGTGGGGCCTGGGGCACCTCTCCCTGCCTAGCCCAAGCTGGGGGCCTGCCTATGCCCCCACTCTGAATATCCTTGATACTCACTGGGAGAGAGAAGCTGCCACAAGGGCCTCAGTCTGGTGAGGAGTCCTTCCCCACTGGGGCCTGGTAAGGGGCTGTGGGAGAGCACAGTGATGTGCAGCAGTCGAAGAACAGGACCCAGAAGGTTAGGGTTCGGGTCCCGTACCGCCTCTGCCTGGCTGTGTGACCTTAGACAAATCACGTTGCCTTTCTGGGCCTTCATCACCTGATCAGGAAGGTGATGCAGGCTGTATGAAGGGATGGCCCAGGGCTGAGGAGGGAGGCCCACCAGCTTGTGCTGGACTAGAACCGGCCCTGACGGACCTGCCCTTGGGTCACGTAGTCGTGTTATCGTTGCTGTCACCTGGGTGGACGTTCTTCAGGTCTCACAGGAGCCCTTTGCTAGGCTCTTCTCCCGGCCTGCCCTGGGCTCCGAGCGGCCCATGCTGCTTCTGGCCCAGGGTTCAGGCTGCTTCCTGTGGTTGGAGAACAGTCTCTGAGCAGAGTCCGGAGCTCCC